AAGTTGACTGTTCCTTTAAACAGATGGAAATTCCAGAAAATGATGTCATGGCTTTAGAAGCTTCTGATAGGCTAATTGACATCACTTGAGTCAATTGGAGGTGTACCTGTGGATGTATTTCAAGACCTACCTTCAAACTCAGTGCCTCTTTGCTTGACATCATGGGAAAATCTAAAGAAATCAGCCAAGACCTCAGAAAAAAAATTGTAGACCTCCACAAATCTTGTTCATCCTTGGGAGCAATTTCCAAACGCCTGAAGGTACCACGTTCATCTGTACAAACAATAGTACGCAAGTATAAACACCATGGGACCACGCAGCCGTCATTCCGCTCAGACAGGAGACGCGTTCTGTCTCCTAGATATTAACGTACTTTGGTGCGAAAAGTGCAAATCAATCCCAGAACAACAGCAATGGACCTTGTGAAGATGCTGGAGGAAACAGGTACAGAAGTATCTATATCCACAGTAAAACGAGTCCTATATCGACATAACCTGAAAGGCCGCTCAGCAAGGAAGAAGCCACTGCTCCAAAACCGCCATAAAAAAGCCACACTACAGTTTGCAACTGCACATGGGGACAAAGATCGTACTTTTTGGAGAAATGTCCTCTGGTCTGATGAAAGAAAAATAGAACTGTTTGGCCATAATGACCATTGTTATGTTTGGAGGAAAAAGGGGAAGGCTTGCAAGCCGAAGAACACCATCCCAACCGTGAAGCATGGGGGTGGCAGCATCATGCTGTGGGGGTGCTTTGCTGCAGGAGGGACTGGTGCACTTCACAAAATAAATGGCATCATGAGGAAGGAAAATTATGTGGATATATTGAAGCAACATCTCAAGACATCAGTCAGGAAGTTAAAGCTTGGTCGCAAATGGGTCTTCCAAATGGACAATGACCCCAAGCATACTTCCAAAGTTGTGGCAAAATGGCTTAAGGACAACAAAGTCAAGGTATTGGAGTGGCCATCACAAAGCCCTGACCTCAATCCTATAGAAAATGTGTGGGCAGAACTGAAAAAGTGTGTGCAAGCAAGGAGGCCTACAAACCTGACTCAGTTACACCAGCTCTGTCAGGAGGAATGGGCCAAAATTCACCCAACTTATTGTGGGAAGCTTGTGGAAGGCTACCCGAAACGTTTGACCCAAGTTAAACAATTTAAAGGCAATGCTACCAAATACTAATTGAGTGTATGTAAACCTCTCACCCACTGGGAATGTGATGAAAGAAATAAAAGCTTAAATAAATCACTCTCTACTATTATTCTGACATTTCACATTCTTAAAATAAAGTGGTGATCCTAACTGACAGGGAATTTTTACTAGGATTAAATGTCAGGAATTGTGAAAAACTGAGTTTAAATGTATTTGGCTAAGGTGTATGTAAACGTCCGACTTCAACTGTATGTTTTGATTTCTAAGACATTCTAATGTTTGTATCACTCACAACTAAAGTTGCCAAATAACTCTAAATCTAGCATATAGGACCTGTTTCAAATGAAACGCTCAACATAGTCACTTCATATGCGCACTTGCTCCGGAATGGGAAAAAGAAGTTCAATTATATTCTTCTTACTATAAAATCATATAAAATAAAATACAATAATGGCACGGGACTTATAAGCATATCGTGTCAGCTAAATGAACAAGCCTACAGCCTATGGCATGGAGCATAGCCAGATAACATAGGCCTACAGCAGACCAACTCATATTCTGTCCTTCTGAAATACATTTTCTTCATATCATAATGTTTCTTTAGACCTGACTAAAATAATTAATGGATTTATTGTGATGGTGTATATTACATTAATTTATTAGATTAATTTTTTTATGTAGATGTTCCAAAAGGCGTGCATCAGTGGGTGGTATGAGTGGAGTCCTGGAGATGCTAACCGTGTCTATGTTAATTAACTGTCAATTACGTGAGACCGGCAGTCTTTTGCATGACAATAACCGGTGGACAAAATTTCATGACCTCCACAGCCTTAGTCCTTGCCGATTACAAGCATACCCATAACATGATGCAGCCACCACCATGCTTGAAAATATGAAGAATGGTACTCAGTGATGTGTCGTGTTGGATTTGCCCCAAACATAATGCTTTGTATTCAGGACAAAAAGTTAATTTCTTTGCCACATTACATTAGTGCCTTATATCAAACAGGATGCATGTTTTGTAATATTTTAATTCTGTACAGGCTTCCTTTTCACTCTGTCATTTATGTTAGTATTATGGATTAACTAAATTATGGAGTAACTAAATGTTGTTGACCAATCCTCAGTTTTTCTCCTATCACAGCCATTAAACTCTGCAACTGTTTTAAAGTCACCATTGGTCTCATGGTGAAATCCCTGAGTGGTTTCCTTCCTCTCCGTCAACTGAGTTTGGAAGGACGCCTGTATCTTTGTAGTGACTGGGTGTATTGAAGGGATATTCAATGTCCGCTTTTTTCATTTTTACATGTCAACTAACCTTACAGATAGATAATTGTATGTGGGGTACAGAGATGGGGTAGTCATTCAAAAATCATGTTAAACGCCATTATTGCACACAGAGTGAGTCCATGCAACTTATTATCTGACTTGTTAAGCAAATTGTTACTCCTGAAATTATTTAGGCTTGCCATAACAAAGGGGTTGAATACTTATTGACTCAAGACATTTCAGCTTTTTGTTTTTTTATTACTGAGTAAACATTCCTAAAAACATGATTCCATTTTGACATTATGAAATAAACTGTGACCGACATGACTAAAGGGAATTTTAAGACAAACTAAGACTAATACTAAAATTGCAGCCAATATTAACACCGCTGTCAAACACTCAGTTATAATGTCTCCTACAAATAACACTGGATACAGCTCAATATGAACTGATGTATCCAAGGCTTGAATCTCAAGTCTAAAGAGGCTTCCTCAGTCTCCTTTTCACCATATCTGATTGATCTGGACAGGTGAAATCTGCACCAGGCAGTTGAAGGACAGGAAATGGAGGAATGAAGGCTATTATTTTTTTTTGAACATTGAGATGTATTGGAGACAGGAGGATTAACTGTCTCTTACCTGAATCCGTAGCCTAAGGTTGTTGAATTTTGCTTTCACTTTGGCATTCAACTCTGTCAGCTTGACGTGTGGTCCTGTACACTCATTGACATCCTAATGTCAATGAGTGAATGAGAGATAAAGATCAAATCAGACAAATGGCTTTTATGTTATATATCAAATGGTTCAAAAAGATAATCAGTCCAAATCTATTCAGATTCCCGGCCATTGTACCAAAATGGGTCAGTGGCCAACGCTAAAGAGCCCAACCGGCTGCGACAGAAAACAAGGTTATTCTCCACAATGAGTACATGACAACATACAGTATCGTTGCATTATATGGTCATGAACAATAACCAAATGAATCAATTTTCATACCTGCACGAGAGCTTTTATTTCCAAGTCATATTTGATGATTTCTTGCTCGCATACTCGGACGTGGACATCAGAGGACGCCATGTTTGACAACAAACTCGTCTACGGCAAGCCGCGAGGAGTAACTGAATTGACTTTCCCATAATTGGTCAAAGCAGCGGGTCTCTTTACTTACACAGCAAAGAGGGCATTTCGGTCGTGAGCAACAAGAACCGGTTTAACACAAAGCAAAAACATGTAAAACAATACGTGGATTGATTGATGATGTTTAATATCTAAAATTTCTAAAGACAATAATGAATGCCATCACACAAACACACAATGAAGGACACATGGAATCAAAAGCAAGGCTACATTACATGCAACATACATATTCACTTTTGGGGCTCCCTATAGTCCAATAATGGACTAAAGGAGCCTAACGTTACTGTTTAGAGGCTAATTGGCTCTGGCAGCCAAAACAGCCAAATGCTCCATCTAAACATGAATCGATTCTCAATTGCAGTACGGTTCTAGAAACATAAAGCCCTCTACTTTTATCCCACATCAAAATAATTTCACAAATGCAAAATACTTACTACACTGTTTTAACACAGTTGCAGCCGACAGTGTTTTTCAGTGACACGTTTATGGCGTCCTTCTTCCGTTCACACACAGGTGTTCGTAGACACAATCATAGATAGCTAATTAGCAGGTAGTCGCTTCTCTCTTCCGTCTGTTTTCCATAAACAAACACTGCAACATGGAAATATGGCAGTGTGGGAACCGAACCTATAAAAGGTGTGTATTAATTTAACCATACCGCAAGCGATGCGTGTTAACATTTAGAGCAAGCATCGGGGCCCTTAACAAAACTCCCCTGGCCAGAAGATACTATCGTCAATAGGCGCTAAAGGTAGTTAGCGTCTATAAATGGGCTAGGGTAACTAGTAACATGCCTTGACAAGATCATATATCAATGTTAGAGAATCAAAAAGTCACACAGTACATCATACAGCACATCATACAAATCAAAGGAAAGGCTGATGCTTCATTCTTAAAGCACTAAAGAGGATTTCTTTAGAAAAGTCCTTTGGGGATCCGTTTGTACAAATCACCTTTGCAGGCATGTCTCCACTCTCACTAAGGTCAGGTGTCAAAGGCTGGGTTAAGGCTTAAGATGTACAAGAACAGTTCCCTTTGTGAGGAGGTGATCGAGGGCTTCATTTGTGTACAGCAGTGAGTCAGGTCCTCTTCTGCAGAGAACAAACAGAGAAAATTGTTCAGGTGAAAGTTAATTTTATATTGCTTTTTCATCCAGCCGTTGCGTTCAGATAAGTGCAGATGAAGGAAAGGAGACGTTTTCATCAAAAGTACAGATTAAAATAGATAAGGAGTGGAAGCCACAACTACAGACTTGACAGAGAGCAGTTTATTTGTTCATTGATTCATTTCATCTTGTGACCTACACATTTGCAGCTAAAAAACTGTATTTCATTATAGACTTACAAACAAAAGATAACAAAATAAATGTAATGATGATATGGACCTCAGGTGTATCTGACTGGGTTTACCTGTAGTAGGAGAGGAACCGAGGGCTGGTAGACTAGGACCAGTGGTAGTACATGTACCAGATGGTATCGTTCTTTAGAGCTGGTCCAAACAGAGGGTTGAGCTGGGCCAGAATTGCTATCAGCCAGCTGAAAACATACAACACATACTAATGATTACACAACTACATATGTCTGTCATGGCTTCTGTTGTGTCTAATGGCTTTGTTTGTGGACCCCAGGAAGAACAGCGGTCTCTAAGGTGTCTGATGGGGATCTAAATAAAGAATAAAGATACTTGTGCAAGTCTTTCACTTTTAGACATTCTTCTTCTACCCTATAGTAATGGATGAACATGACATCAGGGTCAGCTATGATAGAGGAATCCAACTAAGCGCTCAGTAAATCAAATCAAATTTTATTTGTCACATACACGTGTTTAGCAGATGTTATTGCGGGTGTAGCGAAATGCTTGTGCTTCTAGCTCCGACAGTGCAGTAATATCTAACAAGTAATATCTAACATTTTCACAACATATACCCAATACACACAAATCTAGTAAGGAATGGAATTTAAGAATATATACATATATGGACAAGCAATGACAGAGCGGCATGGACTAAGATACAGTAGAATATTATAGAATAGAATACAGTATATACATATAAGATGAGTAGTGCAAGATATGTAAACATTATTAAAGTGACTAGTGTTCCATTTCTTAAAGTGGCCAGTGATTTCAATAGGCAGCAGACTGAAGGAGACAACATATCATTACATTTTAGTAATTTAGCAGACGCTCTTATCCAGAGCGACTTACAGTTAGTGAGTGCATACATTTTTCATACTGGCCCCCCGTGGGAAACGAACCCACAACCCTGGCGTTGCAAGCGCCATGCTCTACCAACTGAGCTACAGGGGACACTCTACCCACATGTACATATTACCTCAATTACCTCGACTAACCGGTGCCCCCTGTATAGCCTCCCTATTGTTATTTTATTTTACTGCTGCTCTTTAATTATTTGTTATTTTTTACTTATCCATTTTTTACTTAACACTTTTTCTAAAAACGACATTGTTGGTTAAGGGCTGGTAAGTAAGCATTTCACTGTAAGGTCTACACCTATTGTATTCGGCGCATGTGGCAAATATAATTTGATTTCATTAGTTTCTTCCCTTAAAAAAAAATGTTAGCTGACGGGGAGACTATCCCCATTACATGGCCTGCACTGCCCCCTGGTGGAGATATGGCAAAGTAACATGACATTGCTATCTGCTCACCTGACAACTTCGAAAGCTAAATAATTAACTATGAAATTAAATAGCATCTCAGGACTAACAGGTTATATTGAATGGGATCATTACCTACCGTACAAGCAATAGGCATACCATAGGATCATTACCTACCGTACAAACAACAGGCGTGCTCTAGGATCATTACCTACCGTACTCTAGGATCATTACCTACCGAACAAGCAACAGGCGTGCTCTAGGTCTACACTTATTTTCTCTATCAGCAAAACCGACCGTGATAAACTTTGAGCGTGTCTACATCTGTGAAAGACTGGTAATCACTATGTATTGACATTGGGACATTGAAATCGAGCTGCAGTTGGCCCAATCAATGTGTATGGAGAATAACCTAAGGGAGAAGTGTTCTCTCTCTGTGTCTGTATGTGGGACATACGCTTAAGCACATCACTACCTCCAAATATAGGTTAATAGTCCAGTTTCACACTTTCATGGAAAGCAACTTAGCTAGGCCTAACATTAGGCATGATGCGAGACTCAAACACACAACACTGGGGTGCAATCATTACGCCAATTCTGTTGCAAAACGTTTTACAACAGAAACCTTTTACTCCAAACGTAAAACACAAACAAGTTTCTATTCGACAAATTCAGGTAGGTCCCCCCATTTGGTTCTTAAAACGGTAAACGGTTTCCGTAATGAATACACCCCTGATGTTGCCCGCCTGCACCCTGTTCCAACCAACTGAGCCAAATGAATATAAGAAGAGCCCTCATAGTGATCCTGTGAAATATTCTGCTACATTCCTGGGAGGACTGTACTTACAACAGGTAGCAGCAGACAGCAGTTAGCACCAACATGGTAACTATCACTCTGTGGAGAGGGGAGAGAGGCATTATTCCACTGGGCCAAGACATTATTACAAAGCAGTAACAAGACATTAGGCTATACATTTGTACGCCTACAAACCAAACGTTACTCCTTTATCTATGGTTTATTATGGCAAGTGCTCATTTCTCAGATGTACTACTAGGCCTTCTTCATGCAGATTGGGCTTCATCATGCCAACTTGAGTCACCTGTAAGTGACAGAGCAGATGGGAACCAGAAAAGGACTGGGGAAGTTCCAAAATGACATCTTGATTTGTCTGTATTCCCTTACTTTGTATCCAACAAGGACAAAGAAGTTTCAAAACATTGTCAAATGTTAAAGTTTATTCTAGTTAAAACTAGAGCTTACTACTACTTTAAAGTCAACTCAGTTATTGTTGGCCATGAAGAGCAATATTGCTGCCAAAAGAACAAGCTGCCAAAAAGTATGATCATTTAACAGCTGACTAAAAAGCTAATAAAATAGGTTTCGCATTTTCCACGAGTAGGAATAAAAGAGACATTTGAGGTCTAGCATGTCCTTTGTTTGTTAACTTTTCTAGTTAGCCACATGTAGCTAGATACTGATTTTTCTATCATGTTAGCTAAATTAGCTAGCTAATTTACTCACCCTCTGTTCGGTCCTTTGGGGATAAACCACGGCACAACTCCACCAATAATCCCCCAAAACAGAGTCATTACCGACATAGGAATTACAAAACTAAGCTCCGCCATATCTGTCTTTGGTAATAGTTTTAAAAGTAGAAAAAGTAAACGTATGCACTTGACAACGCTACTCAGCTCCGCAGTAGCGAACTGTTGCCAGACCACAGACTAGGAAGTATGGATCACATGATGTCGCCACAGTAAACTGGGCGGGTAGTGGTACCAAAAGTTGTTCATAAACTGATCCTAGACCAGTGTTTTACAGAGGAAACCTGATCCTATGAGAAAATTGAGCCGAAAATAAGGTATGTGGTAAACACAGGCTTAGGAGATCTTATACATTTTGTTCTATGAGATAATCTTCATCAGCTAAAGTCACTTTTTGTGAACTTTGAAGCATTTATGTAATTTAAAAAAACACAAGGAACATAAAAGGCTTCATAATTCATAAAGGTCATGTTAACTGGCTGATATTATCTCATAGAAACAAAAAGTATAAGATCTCCTAAACTTGAGTTTATAAAATCTCCTAAACCTCAAAACCCAATTCTTTCCCCATTCATTTCCCCCATAGGAATGGCTGAACGGACCAGAGGTAATTTATTTCCGGTTTTTAGGACTACAAGCTGACGAGCTCGATTCTCCCTTCATTATCATAAGTCTAAAGCTTTCCAAATATTTCATTCAAATAAACCTTTACATTTTCCTTGGCTAAAGCTTGGGTTTGTGTTAGCAAAAAACTGCCAGTTTTGGGCCCCTATTAACAGTCTAGTGCAGGGGTGTCAAACGTCCGGCCCGCGGGCCGGATCAGGCCCGCAAACGGGTTTAATCCGGCCCGCGAGATGATTTTGAAAAAAATAAATAATAATAATAATAATAATAATAATAATAATAATTTTGTAAAGCATAAAAATGCGCTGCAATTTTTCAATAAAATAAACTGCTGTTCCAATTGCGTCCACTGGATGGCGCAATAGCAATTGTGTTAAGCAAGCAAACTGTTTATACCGGGGCAGAGCAAGTAGGTCAAGCACGTGCAGCCAATGAGCTACTTTGTTTTGCCCGCGATATTTATTACGGCTTCTACTTTTAACATTATGTGCTTTGGCACCCTCATTGCCCCAATATGTGTCTGTCAAAAAAGAGAAAAGTGGACGCAGAGTGCAGAGTGTTCCAAGAAAAATGGTCATCCTATTTTTTCACGGAATTGAATGGGAAAGCTGTATGTTTGGTGTGTTCAGAGCATGTTGCAGTGCTGAAAGAATATAACCTTCGTCGCCACTATGTGAGTCTTCATGCTGACAAATATGACAACTTTCAAGGACAGCGGAGATGAGAGAAGGTGAATGAACTGTTGGCGGGTCTGAAGAAACAGCAGTCTGTGTTTACTCACAGCCGAGACATCCAGGGACGGCCTGTTCAATAGGGCGATATGGGCGACGCACTGCCAAACGGGAAAAGGAAGGGATTTTTTTTCTAATCAATTATATCACGGCAACAGTAGTTATCAGTGTTCACGTCTGATCTGCCAGCCACTAAATGTCAAATCAGGCTAAAGTCGTGCTTCAAATGGCCCCGCCCGTTTTTGGGGCGATTTCAGTCAAGTTGAAAATCGCCCAGAAGTCTCTCATAGCCTGTCATGTAAAATCTATTTTTTTCAAATTTCAAAGCTTTCAATACATTCTCTATGGGTGTCTGTGGGCTTGCACTTACGCGCTTTCGTCATACGTGACGTAACCATGAACGTAACTAAGACAATAGCGGCTAGCAGCGTCTCTGTTGCGACCTGCAGTGTGGCGTTATTTTATGTTTTTAATTTGTAGACTTAGTTTACAAACATTCTGCCAACCATGGATTTCCAGTGGTTGGTTTTGGACTGATCTTGTTGATCGTGTACATACCCGCTACGAACGGACTAAATAATGAAAACGCTGCTGGCAGCGGAATCCCAATACAGCTGGGAGACTTGGCTGGATGACAGAGTCCCGGACAGAGAAGTGGAGCCGGCCGGCTTCACCCTGGTCAGAGCGGACCGCGATCCTGGTAAGAGAGCGACTCTGTACCCCGACATTGAACTGCTTTCTGTGTCATTGCGACCTTACTATCTGCCCCGTGAGTTCCCCCAATTGTTTGTTACCGTTGTGTACTGTTGATAATCACAAGTTTACTGGAGAACTGAGACCAAGTAGAGACTTTGGACAGGGTGGATATGGTATAATAAAGGCAGTTTATTCAGAGGTAAAGATATCTGGAATCGCGTGCACGGACTCGTTCGTCAAACTCTTAGGGAGAAGAGAGCCCCGAAAACATTGTGTGCAGACATTTTATACAATAAATGATGTAGGTTGAATCTAGTAGTTCTGATCTTCTGATTGGTCCTGATGAGTTGGGCGAGGTCCCCTCCACTGTTGCATTGGCTCTGAGTCGGGTTCTCTGTCTTCAAATGTTCAGCCTAAAGAGAGGGGATTTTTGTGTGTGTGTGTGTGTGTGTTTAACAGTGATGATGTGTGTGTGTGTGTGTTATCAGTGATGATGTGTGTGTGTGTGTGTGTGTGTGTGTGTCCTCAGAGCAAGAACTCGTGAGTTGGAAGAACTGAGAGACCTATGGCGTGGGTGTTGTCCTTGGCCACCTGCTGACAAGGCTGACAAGATAGGACTCTTTTGTCCATTGTTATAGGATAGGAACAGCATTGATTGAAAACAAACGCCCAACACAAAATGGGTCATGCACAAGATTTTAGTCAGACCAAGCTATAACATTATATATTTACTACGACAGTACATTCAACCAAAAGCTAATATAACAAAGGCATCAGAGATTATTTATAATCTGTCACAGAAACTGGAATCCATCTCCCCAGATCAGTCAATAAATGCTTCTGGTATTGACTTATATGCTGCCCCTGTCTTCATGTTGTTGCTGGACATATCTTTTTTAAAATGTGTGTAGGTCACCTAAATCATCAGAAAAATTGCCCCTCCTGAGAATTTTTCAGGAGCCGCCACTGGAGACATCAGTGACGCTGCAGTGAAAGCTAGCTACCTCATTGCTAATGAAATCGCAGTGGCTTCAAAACCATTTAGTGAGGGTGAATTTGTAAAAACATGCATGATGAAGGCAGCGGAGATTGTGTGCCCTGAAAAGCGGCAGGCTTTTGCAAATATCAGCCTGACAAGAAACACAGTTGCAGACAGGATTTCCGATCTTTCAGTGGATTTGGACAGCCAGTTGAAGCAAAAAGTAAAGTCATTTATTGCGTTTTCGGTTGCAATTGATGAAAGCACGGACATTACAGATGTTGCACAACTGGCCATTTTCATCCGCGGAGTTGATGACACATTGACCGTCACCGAGGAGTTCGTGGAGTTGGTGCCGATGACAGATACAACGACAGCAGCTGATATTTTTACCGCACTCGTCGGCGCGCTGGACAGGGTCGGAGTGGACTGGTCCCGCAAAGTTCAGAGAGAAAGTGCAATCTGCAAATGGAGGACGTGATTTTTTGACTTTTCACTGTATTTTGCACCAGGAGGCTTTGTGTTGCAAGTCATTAAAGATGGATAACGTCATGAAGGTGGTCATCCAAACTGTTAATTTCATCCGATCCAGCAGCCTGAATCACCGTCAGTTTGACAGCCTTCTCAGAGAGAAAGACCACATCTATGGCCTGCCATACCACACTGAGGTAAGATGGTTAAGCCGAGGTGCTGTGCTGAGGCGTTTCTTTGATTTACGAGAAGAAATTGAACAGTTCATGGAAGAAAAGGGCAAACCAGTGTTAGAATTTCATTCCGCAGAATGGATGCAGGACCTTGCATTTATGGTGGATATTACAGAGCACCTGAATAACTTGAACAAACAGCTGCAAGGGCGCAACAAAGTTGTCACGCAGTATTATGACAGCATACGTTCTTTCAAGTTGAAGCTGTCATTGTGGGAGACGCAACTTGCCGGTGGTGATGCAGCTCACTTCCCCTGTCTGAAAAATGTGTGCGCGACCCAACATGTGGCAGACATGAAGCGGTTCAAAGATTTAATAACGGGACTGTTACGGGAGTTTGAGCAACGCTTTCAGATTTATGTTTATATGTTTTTATGTTGATGTGCTATTGTTTTTAATTGATTTTATTTTATTTGTATATTTAACCTATTCTTGACTCTGTGGTTCTTGCACTTGTTTGGGGAACAGGATTTCATTATTTTTATCTACATTTCTGCCTGAGAAATGACACCCTGATATAGTTCTGTGATCTGTGAAACAGTTCTGTTAATCACTGAGGCATTGTGTGTTTGTGTGTTCTTTTTCTTTAGAATTTTCAAATAAACTTGACGTGTTTTATGATTAATAGTGATGTTGTGCTTGTACTATTTTGGACACACTGTCCTCAGGCTCCAGCTTTATGTTGTATGTTGATCGTATTAAAACAAAGAAAACAATCTGAAGTTGTTGTTTTTAAGTTATATATACCATGATTTTTCCGGTCCGGCCCACTTGGGAATAGATTTTCCTCCATGTGGCCCCTGAGCTAAAATGAGTTTGACACCCCTGGTCTAGTGCTAAGAAGATATGATTTGACCTTTAGATTAGATCATGATATCAGGGGATACTTGATGATCCTAAATCAGCACTCATACAGTAACAACGTTCCCATCCACACTTTTTATGCAAATAAAGTCAAACCTTATTTTAAAAAATCACGACAGCTGTGATGGAAGCAGGAAGCGTTGGTACAATCTTATAAATGCCGACAGATCATTTGTTCATTAGACATTGACTTAATTATGCGAGAAATGGCGGTGGAAACGTTTTAATGCGCAAATATTGATACACCATCATATCGAACTGAACTTGTCACGCGATGACATGCTGTGTGGTCCTCCAATTACAATTTGGGAAAGCATGCAGTTTATTAGGCTACAGATTAAATACATTATGAACTTCACAGGGTGGTGAAAGTGCACGGTGATCTTGATGCTCCTATTCAATAAATATCGATGGTCTTAATCTGGTGACATGATCGATGCTTGACTGCGGTTTGACAAACATTCTCGCTCTTATCCATAATAATCTCATTATGTCGACTAGCCTACCCCCACTGTACCTGCCAGCTGTTGGCTAGAGCGCAGGTGCCAAGACCGGAGTAGGCACATTTGCTATTTAACGTAACTATCCGTAGAGTTGAAAATGCGATGGAAACACATAACTTTAGATTTTTATTCGGTACATGAAAACTTATTCGAAAAATAAAATTGTGTGCGCACTAAGTAATCACGCACTGATTTTTTATCAGCAACAAGTCCGTTTGGTGGAAACATCACTGGTGGGTAAAAGCCAGATTTTCTTTATGCGGAATTTGGGGTCATTTAGAAAATATGTAACAGTGCATTTTGCACAAACGGTGGTACATGAAAACTGACAATTAATGCTGGATCTGTGTTCAATGTCTCAAACTAGATTTCCATCCAATTGGCAACAGATTTTCATGCGAATATTCTAATCGTTGTTTATATTCATTTACATGTCTGTTCTTACTCCTTGACTTTGCAGATGAGAAAACACTTCATAATTAACTTCCAAACCATATTGGATATTTTAAAATATGATTTGTGAAATCAGACCATAAATGCCATGACCAAGTTACACCTGTTCAATGGAGCAGTGCTGTGTGCATATTCCACATGCATGTTAGATTTTATTTTCCACATTACTCCCAAACAGATTTTGCCTGGTGAAGCAGACAATCTGCTGCGCTCACATTTGATTTCACTTGAAGTGAAACAGAATGTGAACCATCATGCAATCAGGCTGGTTCCACCATGCTAAACCAGAGTATAACTAGGCAAAACAAGAACATCCCCATACATGTGGCTTACCCACTGTGCGGTACTTTACTGTGATACTTCCATTTACGACAGACAATGAAATAGATTTTTTACAACAGTTTATTGTAAGCAATAGATTTTCACTCTGCCATCTTCTCAATGGTTTCCTCCTTGTATTTGCCCTTCTCCTTTCCGTCAGCGCGGGACTTGGCTTTACGCTCCAGGATCTTCTTGCGATCCTTGTCCAGCTTTAGCCTGGTGATCACGACCTGGCAGGGAAGAGGGAAAGGAGAGATGTGATTGGCACAATCATTTAGGACAGGATTGGTTCTAGGTCGACTTCCATAAAAACTGTGGTGAAAAAAACTGATTGTGAAACCCAAATTGAGTAACTCTTCATGAAGAAACACTTTTCAGGCACAATACTAGTCAAACTATACCATGAAGAAACATCTCAGCCACAATACTAGTCTAGCTACACCAGAAGCCAGACCTTTTTAAAGCCAGCCAGGCTTGAGAAGATCAATTGTGAGTTTCTGCAAAACAGTGGACATTATTTGCAATTCCGAATGCAATCCCAATCACAAATGACTAATCCATGTCCAGACATAACATGGAGACATTCTATTAGACAAATGAGAAGAGCCCTCTCATTCTACACAAGACTGGGGGAACCATATCAGATGTATTACTACTAATATAATGGATGTAGCTCAGTTGGTAGAGAATGGCGTTTGCAACGCCAGGGTTGTGGGTATGATTCCAATGGGGGGCCAGTATGAAAAAAAATAACGTATGCACTCACTAACTGTAAGTCGCTCTGGATAAGAGCGTCTGCTAAATGACTAAAATGTAATAATATCACTGATGTCCAAGACTGGCTGCAGTAAAGTAGGAATGCATTGACCATCACAAATGAGTAGCCTAGGCTAAAACCTTATCTTCAGTTTCACAATTTAACATTGATCCTAGACAATGGCTTACATGTCAGGTAAATGCAGTAAGTGGAGTACTAGCATAGTCAATGTTTCCTCCCCAGTTCAAAGCATACATGGGGTGCCTGCCATACTACACATTGTTAAAATCAGTCAAGACATTCAGTGACTTACAATAAGGCTGACTACAGTCAACTCATCTTCCTTTGTAACAGAAAAACACCCATTGCCATGACATCTGAAAGCTGAAACCAGTGATGAATGGCAAATAACTACATTCGCTCAGTTTACCCTCACAAGGCAACCTACCGAAACATTTGAACTCTCAATTAATCGTTCCTTGATTTCACACCTTCTCAAAGTACATTGGAGAAAGTCAGAGGGTGGGAGAAAATTGTCTAGAAACTGAGGTGTTACCCAGCCTTGTCCAACAGAAATACGCAACTTTGTTCTGTTTGAAATCATTTTCTCCCAATGGCGCCTACTGAACATGACACCTGAGCTTGGACACTGATAAACCTGCATGTATTAAAATCAATCCTACATGTTTCCATCACCAACAGGTAGCTGCTGAGAAGGGTAGTTATTTAGATGGGGTTTTTTTTTGTCACTCCACAATGATACAATACAAAATAACGATTTAATAAAAACATTATGGACCACTCAAATTGAGTTGACACTAAAACAATTATCAAACACAGTACAGACATCATGTATAATACAACTATATACATTATGCATAAACAAACAAAGTACATGTGTGTGACTACAGGTATAGAGCCTCACCTTGCTGGGGTGGATGCCGACGTGCACGGTGGTTCCGTTGGCCTTCTCTCTCTGCACGCGCTCAATGTAGATGACGTACTTCTTCCTGTAGACCTGCACTACCTTGCCAATCTGCTGGCCTTTGTAGTGTCCACGGACAACCTGCACAGCACAAACAATGAAGACGTCATTAAAAAGAGATCACCCACGTGAACAAAATCCTAACGCTAATTTGAACTGGTAGGTCTGGTCTGACCTGTAATTGCAGGGCTGGAGTTTTATGTAGGTCCTCACGCATGGTTTTTAAAAAATTTTTTTGTATAAAGTCTGGTGAAACAGCGTGGTTCTGGGATCTTTACCTGGACCTCGTCGTCCTTGCGGATGGGCATGGACCTCGCATTGTACTTCTGACGGAGCTCCTTGGAAAGGGGGGAGGACATGATCTTCCTCCGGATGTGTGAGGGGGCATTGAAGTGCCTCTTGCGGTTCTTACGCCGCGAGGATGTCACAAATGGATTCAGTTTCATGTTGATGGCTGCAGGGCAAACACAATATACAATCTGATTAGAGGGTTAGTATTGACGGACAGATCAATCACAACTTGCTACATGTCAATCATTTGTCGTTTAGGCTACATGTTTGTTACAAGTAACAAACCATCGCCACAGCATAGTTTAAGTACAACACAAAGCGACAGAGCCAAGAGATTCCCGACCTGAAAGGTAACGTTTGTTCGTTAGCCTTATTAGCGAGCACCTCAAGCTGCAAAATGTTAGTAAGTTGAAGCTAGTTAGCTACATAGTTGGGTAACGTTAGCTAGCCAGGCATTTTCAGGATCTTATGTCAATACCCAACGTTAGCTACAACAGCTAGCTAGACGTTAGGCTATCCGCCCAACAGCATAACTAAGATTGAACAATTCAGTGACAGTCACCGAGACCATGAACTACAAATGTACACAAAAATCTATGATCTACTATGTACGCGTCATCTCCATGCGTTCAACATGACATGGGTCCACACAGCTAGCATTAGCAACCCAGCTAGGTAGCCATGTTAGATGATTGTCAAGTGCAGTAAACTTCAGCGTTAGCGAAACACAAACTACCCATCTCAATGCCATGGGTTTCTCTAAACGAGACACAATGCGAACATATCGTGAAACGAATGTTCAGGCCCAGTTGAATTGGTAGCCTGTCTGCCATTCTCTGGAGTTGAACGGGTAGCTAGCTAGCCAGCACCGGTCGAGGGATGCAGATTCCGGGACGTTTGATTTAGCTATTAATATAACATTAGTCTCCAATACTAATCACTATAGAAAAATAACAGGGGTAACTGACTTTACATGTACTTTTGGGGCCCTACAAAAGTCTATAACATAGGATGGATGTTGATAACGTTGATGACACTGTCAACCGGGAATTCTTACCCTGCCGATGACTCCTCTATGGCCGGCGGAAAAGAGACTTTCATTGTACTTCCGCTCAGATTAGTTCACACACGACTCCCGCGAGAACTACACTCACAGAGAGAGATTTGCTGCTGCTGATAATTTGTAGCTGGAAATTACATCAATAAAAATAATTCACATTAATCAGAAATGCCTAGATAAAATGTTACAAATGTGTATGTAGTACATAGACAAATATAAACTGTTTCTTTGTTCCTACACGATTGTTATTGCGTTTTGGAGTTTCACATTAGTCAATGGAGTTTATTTTGGCTCCTCATAGATTAGGCCTACAATTTCATGAAAATATTGAAGCCTAGTACGGGACGCCGACGCCAGAAAGAGGAGGCATATACACTGAACATACTGTATAAATATAAACGCAACATGTAAAGTGTTGGTCCCATGTTTCATGAGCTGAAATAAAAGATCCCAGAAATTGTCCATACGCACAAAAAGCTTATTTCTTTAAAATGTTGTGCACAAATTTGTTTATATCCCTGTTAGTAAGCATTTCTCATTTGCCAAGATAATCCCTCCACCTGACAGGTGTGGCATATCAAGAAGCAGATTAAACAGCATGATCATTACACAGGTGCACCTTGTGCTGGGGACAATAAAAGGCCACTCTAAAATGTGCAGTTTTGTCACACAACACAATGCCACATATGTCTCAAGTTTTGAGGGAGCGTGCAATTGGCATGCTGACTGCAGGAATGTCCATCAGAGCTGTTGCCAGAGAATTTAATGTTAATTTCTCTACCATAAGCCGCCTCCAGTATGTCCAACTGGCCTCACTACCGCAGACCACATGTATGACCATCGTGTGGGCAAGCTGTTTGCTGATGTCAAAATTGTGAACAGAGTGACCTATGGTGGCGGTGGGGTTATGGTATGGGCAGGCATAAGCTAACGGACAATGAACACTTGCATTTTTTTGATGGCAATTTGAATGCACAGAAATACTGTGACGAGATCCTGAGGCCCATTGTGAGATTAAGGTATCTGTGACCAACAGATGCATATCTGTATTCCCAGTCATGTGAAATCCATAGATTAGGGCCTAACAAATGTATTTCAATTGACTGATTTCCTCATATGAACTGTAACTCAGTAAAATCTTTGAAATTGTTGCATGTTGCGTTTATATTTTTGTTCAGTATGCAAAGATGCACCACACAGAACGCACTGCAACTGCCTCTGCAACGCAATGCTGCAAGGCAAACGCAGCATTCCATTGGAAATTAATGTACTTCTGGCGTACAAAAATGCAATGAAGCTGTTGGTGTGATCAAGCCGCTACGCTGCGTTTGCCTTGCAGCATTGCGTTGCAGAGGCAGTTGCAGTGAGTTTTGTGTGGTGCATACTGTGCATTGGATTTTTCGAACCTATGCGTCAAACTGTATGTGTAGACGGCTTGACAGAAATGGTAGCAGAAGGTGAATGTTGAACTTTTGTTGCACACATATCCAGATGATGCTGCACACCATTTTGCACAATGATGCTATGAGTGTGATTAAGGCATAATAAAGCCATCGCCTTCTGCGCCCATTCAACACATTCTAGATTTACGTTTTTTTTAAACTTCTAAACAAAATACATTTTTTGGGGTTCACATAGGCTTACAATGATGTTTTGATTCTAGCTTGAACAGTCGCTAAGATTATATTTGGTTGTGATCTTTGCAAAATAATTATATTGGATGCAGCAGTTGTTAGCTCATTGATATATGCTGTAGCAAAAGCTAGCCAAAGAGCCATTTTACTTGTGGAAGTTGAAGTGTTTTTGAAGTATAATGCAATTGATTTGCAATGATGACACAAACATTATATTAAGCAGGACATTAATATGAGCCTTAAAATCAAATTATAATCTAAAAGTAGTGTGAAATGCACTCATAAACAACACGCCAGGGTTGTGGGTTCGATTCCCACGGGGGGCCAGTATGAAAAAAAAAAAAAAGAATAATGTATGCACTAACTGTAAGTCGCTCTGGATAAGAGCGTCTGCTAAATGACGTAAATGTAAATGTAATGTAAATAGAGGCTTTTTTTGATGGTGTTCTATAAGAACTCCTCCTTGTTCTGCCACCAATTTGCGCGCATCGCCCTATTGCGGCAATGTTTGCAAACACAGAAAGGGGCGCATGGAAGTATGCTAGAGTAGAATATTAGCAATATGGATGTTGACCAAGAGATGTCACCATAAACCATGATGTAATACCCTCGGACCTCCTGGACCTGTCAAGAGTTTCCATATTCAATGACTCACCCTGATCATCAATTAGTTGGCTAAATATCCAGAGAAGAGACCTAATACAAACTACTTTGTAGCCTGTTTATTGAGGCTTGCTTGACAAGTATTTATCACCATCATCATCTATAGGCTATTTGTCAGTTTATTTAAAAAATAATTAATATATTTAATTCTGTAGCCTAGCCTAAAACCCATAAAGGACAAGGGCTGAAACACGGTGGATTTACATTTAACTATATATAAATTAAGCTATTTTGATCAACCTCTGTCCTCAAAGAGTTGCGGAATTTCCCCTTCACTTCGCTCTCTAACTTATAAAATGATCTAGGCTATTTAAGAAGAGGGGCGGGGGATACAGGTTAATTTTGAATAACGCCAAGACAAGGCAATTTCCAACCCCGCCACACACTACTCGGTACCCCTCTCCAGCCCCCTCCCTACCCACTCCCATCAGATATCCGGGAAAAGAGGCGCACAACCTCTTGTCCTGGCCTGCCCGCGCGAAACGGGATGAAATTACACCATGCAGATGAAAACATGTGAACACGGAAGCAAAAGGCGCGTTGTCACGGACATCACACTTCTCCGCCGCGCGCTGTTATAACCGGTTAACGGACCATGCTCGGCTCTTGCTGTCTGTCTGGGTGAAAGTGATGCGGTCATAGAGCGAGCAGTTCCAGCTCGTTTCCTCCCTCTCCGATCTCGGGTCTCTCTCGCGGCAGTGCGGATGTGGAGTCAACACTGGAGCACTGCCTTCTGCTAACCTGAGAAGAAGATGAAATGTTTTTCCCGTTATCTCCCGTACCTCTTCCGCCCTCCTACCACCATCCTGTCTTCCACATGCCACACCGAAGGTAGGTAGAGACTCACCGGGGCTCTCAGGAGCTGTGTGTGTATTGTGGTTGATAGGAGAGGGGAGTTTAGATGTCTAGTATAGATCTCGTTATATGTTGTTGACCATTTGGTGAACTATACTGCCTAAAGGCCTTAATGCTTTATATGTGCTTCTGACCTTAACTGTGTGAGCTGTCAATGTGAGCTGTCATATAGGGTCTGTGTCCTGTCTGTGGTTTTATCCTGTAGCATGACATAGCCAAGTAAGAGTAGGACAACTGACAACACTTATGAATACAAAAGTCTGGCTATTATATTGGCAAACTAAAATCAAAGCTGAAGTATGTGAAGGTATTTGACATGTGATTTCACTCTGGTTGTGCTCAATAAGTGGATAGAAGTTTAGAAATGATCTGCAGCACTGTGACACCAATCCATTCTGAGAAGCCTGATCATTCTGAGAAGCCTGATCATTCTGAGAAGCCTGATCATTCTGAGAAGCCTGATCATTCTGAGAAGCCTGATCATTCTGAGAAGCCTGATCATTCTGAGAAGCCTGATCATTCTGAGAACTTCTTGGTAAACAGCACTACTACACTTAAAAGGCCTCCATTTCATTAGAACAGTGTGATGTCTGTGTTTCAATGTTCTCTTGTTAATTTATCTGGTACAGGGGTATGCCACATTCCATGTGCTTCCTAAAGCAGAGCAGACAGGGCTGTTCTGAATACAGGGCATGGGGAGAGCAGACAGGGCTGTTCTGAATACAGGGCTGTTCTGAATACAGGGCAGATGGGGAGAGCAGACAGGGCTGTTCTGAATACAGGGCAGATGGGGAGAGCAGACAGGGCTGTTCTGAATACGCAGAGGGTGGGGAGAGCAGACAGGGCTGTTCTGAATTCAGGGCAGTGGGGAGAGCAGGACAGGGTGTTCTGAAACAGGGCAGATGGGGAGAGCAGACAGGGCTGTTCTGAATACAGGGCATGGGGGAGAGCAGACAGGGCTTTCTGAATTCAGGGCAGATGGGGAGAGCAGACAGGGCTGTTCTGAATACAGGGCAGGGGAGAGCAGACAGGGCTGTTCTGAATACAGGGCATGGGGAGAGCAGACAGGGCTGTTCTGAATACAGGGCAGATGGGGAGAGCAGACAGGGCTGTTCTGAATACAGGGCAGTGGGGTGTGCAGACAGGGTTTTTGAAATCAGGGCAGATGGGGAGAGCAGACAGGGCTTTTCTGAATACAGGGCAGACGGGGAGAGGCAGACAAAGGGCGTTCTAATACAGGGCAGATGGGGAGAGCAGACAGGGCTGTGCGAATACAGGGCAGATGGGGATTGCAAGACAGGGCTTTCTGAAACAGGGCAGAGGGGAGAGAAGACAGGGCTGTTCTGAATACAGGGCAGTGGGGAGAGCAGACAGAGCACTACAGCAGTTATTACAGAGGGCATGTGACAGTGTGTGTGGTGTGTGGTGTGTTGTGGTGTGTCGGAGTGCTTCAGGGCACTACAGAGACAGTGAGAACAAAATTACGTGAGCTGAATATCACGTGAGAACGAGTGATGTCCGCTTGGGTAATAGGTAGCCTACGGACCGAATTACCTGACAGTACCCCTTGACCTGGTCAACCTGGACATCCGGCCTCCCGACCCACCCCACCTCTACCCCCGTGATTCCTCAGACACGTCCATTCTCTCCATCGGACATCCAGTCCGGCCCCGAGTACCGACACGAAGAAACCACCCGCTCGACGCGTGGCAGATCCAAAGGAGGAATCCAAACAAACAAAAAACCAAAACAAAGCACCAAAAAAAACAAAAACCAAGGCCCAAACCACACAAAAAGGAAGGAAAAGGGCAAGGGAGGGGAAAAAAAAAAAAGGGGGGGGGGGGGGGGAAAAAAAAAAAGGCCCGGGGGGGGGGGGGGGCCCCCCCCCCCCCCCCCCCCTCCCCCTAGCAGACAGGGCT